CGCCGGTAGGAGGGGGACGGAATGGTCAATGTACGAGTTGTCGGACATGGTGACGGAGATGGGAGATTGCCAATGTCAGGAGCTAGATGAGAAGGGCATTGATGATGCTATGCGGTGCGTCGGCAATACATGGATGGTGGTGTGGTGGTGGGGGTGGTGATAGCTGTAGGACGAGGTTCGTGAATTCGACGTCGGTGTTGTGTTGACAATGGAACGTGGAACGGCTTCTAGGTTAATGATTGACAGAGAGCCTAGCGCGGTTGCATGTTGCTTTGGCCGATAACAACTACCACCACTACGGAGCACCTGCGACATCTGGACTGTACATGGTTTGGATGACATCAGGAGCGGCATGCAACTCCGTAATGGGCGAGAAATGCTGATGCTGGTGGACCGGGGCCTGTCGCCAGAGACCAGAAGCTCATGCAGCCACAAAAGCGCAGAATTATGCAGACTGCGGATAAACTCCGGCTCCCCACGTTCAATGCTGCGCAACCGCAGGCCCTGCGTCTAAAAGCTCCCAGTGCCAGTCAGACTTGCAAAGTTTCATTGGCAAATCGTGTCTCGAGCCTCGTTTGTTGTTTGCTGCAAGCCGCCGCTTGTCACTCATTTCTTTTCCCCTTCTCCTTGTCGCAAAGATCTGCGCCTTGCTTGTAGCAGCCGGCTTCTCATTCCAGGGAAGGCTACATCTGTGTGAGGCGAGTGCAAAATTTCCCAAATCCCGGTACGCCGCGATCCACGCATCCCAACCCGCGAGTCATCCTTGGATTTTCTGGTCTTGGTGCCGAATCCTTGAAGTAAGCCACCCAGCAGTCGGCACTGCCGTGCTATTTTGCGCAACTTGCTTGCTCTTCGTGACGAACTGCTTGCGAGCCAGATCCAGGTTATTTGCGTCTGGGCTGAAAGGTGGGAAATTGTACAGTGATGCTAACCCACCTCCCCTTCCTTAGGAACCAACTCAAGGACGCCAAGTTTTCACAACCCCTTGGGCGAGAACATCATGTCGGACGCGAACCACAAGGAGGACAAGCCTGCCGCTCAGTCGGCTGAGCACGAGCGGGAGACGGAAGTGTCGGCGGGTGAAGAGGTGGGTGTCTCGCACGGCGCAAATCAACAGCGACCACATGAAAACGACAGAAGAATCTGTTTGATACAAGAAAGCAGGGAGAACTGACTGGTACATACCCTGCGCTAGGAAGAAATCACGGCCATGAAGCGCCGTGTGGCTGAAATGGAGGAGGAGGCCAAGAAGCTGCGAGAGATGCAGGCTACCTTGGAGCAGCAGTCGGCTGATTTGGCGGATGACAAGGAGTCGGTTGATGCGCGAAGCATCTTTGTCGGAAACGTCGACTACTCTGCTTCTCCTGAGGAGATTCAGGCTCATTTCCAGAGCTGTGGATCGATCAACCGCGTGACTATCCTCTTGGATAAGTTTACCGGTCAGCCAAAGGGGTGCGTGTTCTACTGCATAGCATTCATTTTACTGTCCCCCCAATACATGCCGATGTACTGACCGAGGCATGCACGCAGATACGCCTATGTTGAGTTTACAGAACCGAGCCTGGTCGCCCAGGCCCTCATCCTTAACGAAAGCGTCTTCAAGGGCCGCAACATCAAGGTCACACCCAAGCGTACCAACGTTCCTGGCATGAGCCGAGGTCGCGGGCGAGGAGGCTTCCGTGGGGGTCGAGGATTCCACGGCCGGGGTGGTTTCCCTCGTGGTGGCTACCGCGGCGGCTATAGGGGCCGCGGCCGGGGAGCTCACGCGCCTTACTAGGGACCGGGAAGCGACTCTCTCCCTGGTCCGGCAGCTGGTGACGACGGGTCATGGATGCCATCACGTGGAGCGTCCAATCTTTGAGGAGTTTGTAGGAATTAGGAATTAATAATGGATTTTGCCGATGCGGGTCACCGACGGAACTTGAGAGAGGTTTGATATCATGGTCCGTTAGGTAGGCATACTACACAGGGACTGAGTTGCAGCGACAGAAAGAAAGAAAGGAAACCTATAATACAGACAAGAAGGAAAGGGGGGAAATCTGTTCGTGTAAAAGTAACAGCGCCGCTAGGAGAGGGGAACAGACTAGGCAACGACTTGGAGTTTAAAGGATGATTTGATTTGGAATGATTTGCTGCATTTGGCTGAATACGAAGAAGAAGAAAGACATTCAAGCCTGGCTGGCCCTTTTTCCGTGCCTGATATTGATTATGCTTCCGTGAAACGCGGCTTTGGGTCGTGTGACAAGAAGACGTGATAGTGATATTGAAACAGAGTACTCCGTAGAGCGAGTCTTGTATGCGATTTGTGTCTTGAATGCCCCACGACGGAGAGTTGTAGAGCCCGAATCTGCCAGCAACACATGGGAACGCGTACTGTCTCTCATCGGTCCGCCTCGCAGTTTCACCAACTCGTGCCCCCTACCCCCCCCCACC